AAACCGCCATCCCGAGAGGGCGTCGCATCTCACCCCAATAGGCTGTCTTTGCTGGAGGAGCGATTGCGGCTGCGCTGCAAAACGGATACGCAATACGTCCCTTACTTCTTTCCTCTGGCAGGAGACCTATCGGAAGAGGAGGATCGAGGGGAAAAAAGAAGACAATGGTTATCATCTAGGGCGATCTAGGCATGGAAGCTTCTGTTGTCTAGATCCTTACAGGCGCCACTACACTCCCTGGAAAAAGCACTGCAGTGCGACACGTCCAGTCTTAATTACTGTAAGACCTCTCAGCTTCTGCGCTGTACGACAGAACATACACAGAGAACTTACAGGTCCCGACGTTCTCAAGTCACCGCAACTTCTCGGGGATTGAAATGGGCAGACAATATTGCTGTTGGTCTACTCGTCTGGTATTCGCATACGAACTATTGGAAAATAGATTAAGACTCATGAGGCCATACCCATTGACGATGGTACATGGTCGTTGCAATGCGCCGACATCGTAGCGACTGCGAAACGGAAGGGTGCCGATCCTTACATCTCCCACATCTCCCACATCTCCCTAGTCTCTCCCTTGGCCAAAGGCACCAAGGGAAATTACGGTTGTGGCTGCGGCGGTTGAGATCCCGACGCCTCACACGTATTCTACTCAATTAAGGGACATTTTACACCCTGAAATCTATCCCGAGTCCGAAGGGGCGCCGAGTCTTGCACGAGTCTTGCACCATCCCGACAAAAGAGTGGACACGCTTGGGAGATGTGGCGTAAGCCCTGAAACGATTAATGGAATACACGACGCGGGAAAGGCGGATAGATGGTCTAGGATCTAACTAGGATCTAAGGGAGTGCTATAAGGTGATGTCGCTGCAGGAGAGAGTCACGACTTGGCTCGCTTTCGCTTCTTAACCCTTTTTTCCGGTCGGATCATGTATGGTCACGTATGAATAACTTATGAACACATGCACTAGATTAAACAGGCATAATATTGATCTGCGGGTGAGGCTTCGGTCGCCGTCGAGTGGGTAAAAGTGTGGTGAGTATTGCACGCCTCGTCGGGTCTTGTCCCGGAGATCAGCACGGAGTTTAGGACTGCGGTTATACGGATCGGCCATATGTTTATACTGCGTGAACAAGTCACAAGACCTCTCTGTCCAAGCCAAGCCGGAGGCCGTAACACCTCAGTGAGACAAGAGAGAGAGCCGCCTTCCGCTAGGCATATACTGGAAATATGTTGTGTGTATATACTTGGACGCATTAAGTTCATAGAATGCACGAGATGAGCTCAACCCACCTATTAGCAGCATGGGCCCCTTTTAACTGTTGTGAGGGATGAGCAAGGTTTAACCACCACTTTAGCTGCATAGAAATTCGAATGTAATTCAAACGCACGGAGTATGGAGTATGGAGTATAGGGTGTGTATAGGGAGTGGAAGCTAGAGGCTGGCTGTAGCTGTACTTAGACAAACGCCCAAACAAATAAGGCGTCAATCTATCACGTATCTATCTATCTATCGAGTATGCGGGAAGGAATTAAAGTCTAAAACAAGGTGTCAGTATTGTTGCAACTAGCGGCAACTGATCATAAACGAACGTTGTACTGGAGTAACCTCAAACCTTACGAGGGAGCGCCAGAGATATCGAGGCCGAGCTAGTTGGATATTTCCCGAAGCCAAGGCTTTTTTCGTCTACTCAACCTCTGCCTTGTACCTCAGGCCTCTGGTGGGACGTGAGAATTGTATACTTACAGTCAAGCCGATAGGAATTCGCGGGAATGAGGGGGGAGCTAAGAAGAAAGGAATAGTACAGACGATGACAACAACCCGGATTATACCACGCGAATACCTAAGAATAGATTTAATGCAAAGTGAGTCGTAATCTTCTGATGGGATACCAGGGACGCGGAATACACAGAGCACGGAACACGTATAGTTAGGGCGGCCCGACAGTTTGGTTATGCTATTGACTGAAAGGACTACTATGTAAACGGCGAATCACGATTAGCAGGAGGACTAATAAGAGGTAGCTTTCCTAATTAGGAAAATTCCTCCAGAATGTGCCCCAGTGTATTAAGGTCTGTGACCAATCTCTTTTTGATTCTTGTTTCTCATATGAAAGTCATTAAAAAACTGGCTGTTTCTGATTTGCTGCGCCCAGATTGACGTTAACCTAGTACTATGATGATGATCAGGAGCTGATTGTTAAACATAAATCTCATCTCTACTCATCTCTTATCTTATAAGTTATGAGATCCCTCGAACGCGCCAGGCTGATATGTGTTCAACATCGCGAGGATCTACTTTGGCAGTGAGATTGGGATGTATCCAAGTAAATATAGTTGTACGCACGCGGTTAAGCACGATATTGCGCAAACTATATGTATACATGGGTACCTATGTATACTTGGCACATTGTAAGTACTGTTGCATGCATACATATAAGCACACTTACATACCTTACATATGTAGATGTCGGGTTCTTTAATCTATGCAGCATGTAGCTTGACGTAGGAAAGGAAGAGAACCGTGGCAATATATAAACGTGGCGAGAAGGAAAGTGAGGTTGTTTACATGATTATTTGCACATGCTTCATATTACCTACGTTAAAAATGGACGGTAAAAAGAAAGCGAAGAGAATAAACCTCCAAGATGCTCAATATTACGCAGGTCTGTAACGGTCCGTTAAATGGATATTGATGGTTAGCGAACTTGACTCGAGTTTATTTCGTGGAGATTCGTGGAGATTCGTAGAGGTGGGAAGCGAGATTCTTTGTGGACGCGAACAAAAAGTCCTAGTTACACTTTAAGATTTCCCGAATAGCAGCTAAACACCGACGCTTCGATACAGCTGAGAGGGCTGATGCATGATAGAGGCGCAGAATAGGACCAACTAGGACCAATTGGGAGTGTTACTTAACGTGCGCGTTCATCTTATCAATAAGCCGGGGGGTTAAAAGAGTTAAAAGGTCGTGCATGTGTATGTGTGTATGTGTGTATGTGTGTACCTATGTGTGTATATGTGTGAGTGAGTATGCGTATGGTGTATGTATGTGTATGTGTATATGTGTGTCATGTACGTGTGCCATGATTGGTGTGGTATGTATATATGTTCAGCTTGTTGTTACGTACTTTACTGTTACTTTACTATTTCGTCGTGAACAACACTAGGTTAGGTACTGCTAGTTGCTGTAATAGTTTTACTACGTTTAAAAGTAGCTGGTTATAGGATAGAAAAAATAAAAGATAAACAATAAAAGATAAAAATAAAAACTAAAAAATAAAAATAAAAACGCCAATGACAGCTATTGTACGAAGTACTAACCTGGTTTATTATATTCATTTCGTAATACTAATTCTCAAGAAAAGCCCAGAAATCTATAGTAGGGAAAAAGGATGATGCCGAGAAACGAAAAATACAATAAAACCAAACAAGTACCTAACCAGGTCCCCGTTGCTACTACATATCAGGGTTTGCTTCGGCCCTTGGACGCGCAGATCTTTGCTGCACGTCTCGGTACTAGGAACCCTGTATGCAACCACGAGGTTGGATCTTACATACTCCCAGCTCGACCACCACATAGTACAGCTTTCCCGAATCCACCAAGCCTGGAACGGTCCCTCAACCACTTGCAATCGCAATCGCGCGAGTAGGGCGAATTACTATAGGCGAACGATCATAGGTGATCGTAGGTGTGGGTTTTCCTTCTTGTATCTTTCGCTCGCTTACATTTCATGCGCCAACCTTTGGATGACAGCCTAGGTAAATGACCCCTAGCGCCATCATACCCTTCACCCAACCGCCTGTCAAAAACAAAAAGACAAAAAAACAAACCAAAAAAGTGCCCGACTTCGAGTGATTCCCCTCGAATAGGCATCTAGAACCACCTGAGAGCTTAGGTACCAAACAGCGATGCGAAAGACTACCGTCGTGGCTAATCGAATCCTTGTCGACCTTGATGTCCCTTTCGAGCTGGCTCCTACGTTGAAGATAATGCCATATCTGTCCCACGCTCTGCTAACTCTGCTAACTCTGCTAACCATTGCCGCTTATACCTGTATAAGGTATGCCTAACGTATACATAACGTGTATAGGCACATAGGAACGATGTGCGGATTTGGTGCAAGCTTTGGCTAGTGCCGCAGGACCTTAACGTCTACTTTCTATTGCTACCGGGTCTTGGTGGTGTCCGTCTCCTTGGGAGAGATAGATCGGGTTACAGCGCTCCCAGTAAGCTAATGTAAACTTAGAGGCTCGCATTAGCTTGGGAAAAACATCTTTTCCTTTTACTCTGACTACGTGTTAGTTAACACCGCAAGATTCGTTTTGCTGTCTCTGCTGTCTCCAGGACGATGTCTGTGTTTCTTGCTCGCGCACATCATCGTTATATTGCCCCCGCCATCCCAGGGACAGGGGTTATAGCTCTCGAGCTGTATTGTACCTGGATATAAGTATTTGATGGCGGCTGAAAATGTCTAGGCTAGGCCCGGGCATTTAATTGTGTGCCACAAACCCCCCCCGTGTCTAAGATACTTGCTTCCCTTTGTACATCCAAATCTCCTTCCCGGGTGGTAGGGATTGGTGCTGGGAAGACCAGGAAGATTAACAGAGCTGCATCGCCTGGTCCACTGGTGATCCACTGGTCCACATACACTTGCACTTATACACTTATATTCACACTTTGTACCCTCTACTTCCCCATTGTTACATGGGTAAGCTTCTTGTACCCTCGTGTCTTGCTGATAGACCCGAGATGGATAACCTTTTCTCTCTCGCTCTCATATTTAGAAAGCCATGATCCGGATAAGTCTGATTCATACACATTCGATGTAATTTCTGCGTACATGTATTGTTTGACTGCGTACGGTACATATCGTTAGAATTCATTTATTCTTCTAACATATATCCAATCTCACCTTTCCCTTCCCCTGCATCCCCTTCACCTTGATACCTTAGTGTCTAGCCGTTTGTATTCTCTCCCTCCTCTTGTATAGACGAGCCTTCCTGTTTTTGCTTTTATTTTTCACTTTACCTACGACTACTACTTGGGTAGAAGATTTATAAGTCTCTGGGAGTCTTGCGGGTGTTCACATCCTTGATATGAGCGAGGCTAGACCAAGATAATCATCTTGATCTCACCTGACCTGAACTACCACGATGGTGTTTTGTGCATACTGCGGAAAGAGCTTTACGCGCAAGGAGCATCTAGAGAGACATATTCCAAGTCGTAAGTGATGCTCATTTGCTCTAGAGACTAGTGAAACTGACGCCCGGTGCCATAGACACAAACGTAAAACCGCACAGATGCAGTGCGTGCCAACTGTCCTTCGCCCGAAGGTTTGCTCTTTGACCCTGCGTCTACATATTCAACTATATACTCATCGAACTACTACAGGGACTTATTACAAAGGCATCACTCCACATATCATGAGGCCCGAGATCCCATGGAACCTCTCCCGGGTGGTGTTCCTACGGTAGCAGGACGAACACCCATTGCGTGCCTTAACTGTGCGCAAGCTAAGACGGGTTGCGACAAGAGAGTTCCATGCGCACGGTGCGCTGACAAGAATCTCGAATGTCAAGCGCGATTTGCGCGACGTTCTTCGAAAGCCGCCTTGAGGGCAGCTCAAGCAACGGCTGCTATGAGTAGTACTCAAAACCAGATCACAATACCGCCGCAACCTTCACCAACAACGCCAGCCACGACAGTTAATCCTGCCTTCATGGATATAGACAAAAGTGTGGTCAAACCGGATCCGTCAATAAAAACCTCCATGTCACCCGAAAATAGCTGTAATGCTATGACAATCGACCCACGAATACAACAACATGAGAGTCCCGCCAAGAAAAACTCCCCGGCGAATTCTCAAATGAGCTCTGACGATTTCCCATCTCCTCACCCAAGAGTAGAGGGTCTTGATGACTTTCTTCACTTGGGCAACGATTTTATACCACAAGAACCGAATTATCAAGACATGCTGGTCTGGTCTGAATACCCCCTAGACCTCGACATGTATACCAGCAATATGCCTCTCACTCATGCCGACGTCCCAATGCCCACTTTCAACGAACTTAGCGATATTTCATCTAATTCAGAACAAATGAGCTCCTCTAGAGGCTCTATACATACGAGAAGCACCAGCATAATGTCTACGGGGGATTTTGAGTCCGCTATTAAATCAGTTGATATGACCTTGAATACCCCCACCGATACTATGATACCCGAATTCGAAGTTGTCATCGCGGCTGAGGCTGCTTGGCCCCTGGCTCGGTGCAATCCACCTATATACTCAAATACGTGTCCGAGAACAGCTATCGTTCACTTAGAATGTTTGGAACAAAAGTCGCGACAAGAGGGCACCTGGAGTGCCCTGGAGCAATATCTAGAGCAAGTCGACTGGGATGCTACCGACATGGCTTCGGTCATCCCCATGACCTCTCGCACTCGTGATAACATGCTCGCAATAACGCAGACATTCCTTCACAAGGCCCTTGAGATTCATCGCGGAGGGGTTAATAGCCCAGTCAAGAGCTATACAAGTTCAAGGCTGATGAGCTTCTTAGTTCTTCCGCCTTCAAAAATCTTGGAGTATTTCCTCCGCTCATACGTTCGAAATTTATCTTTCTTCTACTCGCTAGTCTCGGCCGGCTGCGTAGATCCCAATGAGATGCTTCAGAATAACCAGGCGGCGGCGCTTCTAGTCCTGCTCATGATCGCGCAGGGCGCCTCCGCTGTCCCTACGGCAGAAGCAAGGGCTCTCTCAGCTGGTCTGATCGAGACTTGCCGCATCTCGCTTTTCGACATAATCGAGAAGGACATCGAGATGTGCGCCGACCCCACCGCGCTTCGATGCGCCCTGCTCTTCACGCTCCTCGGAGCCTGGAGCGGAGATAAGTGGCTTATGGACATAGCCATGGGTCAACGCGGGATGTATCTCTCGGTGAGCATCCAATAATGCAGTCTCCCATCTTACACAGCTTCATGTCTCTAACCGAAATATCATGCAGATGCTAAAGCACGCCGGAATGTTCGAATCTCAGCCGTCCATGATTCCCACGTTCAGTAGCTCCACCAATGCCGAGCTCCAATGGCGCTCATGGCTACACCGGGAATCCCAAAATAGGTATGTTACTTACACCACCGCATCCGGTATTTCAACCAATAGTCTTATGCAGTACGCTGATCTCTTTCGATAGGCTGGTGTATAATTTTGTCATGGTGGACCAAGAGCTTAGCTTGTTCCATGATACGGCACCAATGCTGTCAACCAGCGAGCTCTGCGCCCCCTTACCTGGTCCCGAGCTACTATGGATGTCGGCCAACGCTGACCAATGGGTCGCTGCCGTACAATCCATCTACGGCTGTACTGCAAACGTTAATCCCCAGCTTCTCACCACACCCCCCTCGCTCACCCCCTCGCTCTACGATCTGTTTCAGGATCTCCTAAACGATAACTTGTCAAGGAGGCAGGGTAGCCTGACGCCACATCAATTACGTCTTTTGCTACACCCTCTCCAGTCCTGCTTATACCACATCACACAGATGCTGTCATGCTTGTCGGATGTCATGGGTACACGACGCGTGGGTAACAGGACTGGCATAAAATCATCCTTCGAATCCCGTCGCGACGAAACCCAGGTACTGCTCCAAAAGTGGTACGAGCTGACCATCACCTACTACAAGGCGAACCCGACATGTGCGACCAGCAAGACTAATCTGGTGCTCTACCACCTAATCTCCCTCAACGCGATTACAAATTTCCCGGAAATAGAGAGGCTGGCCCGGCGCGAAGGATTCGACGGCTCTTACTGGGAGCTGTCCCTGCGCCACAAGCGCTGCATATCCCAGCGCGAAGAGGCCATCTTCCATTGCGGCCAGGTGTTCCGGCTGCTGCGGTCGATGCCGCGGGACCGGCGGCCTAGCTGGTGGAGCGCGGGCGTCTACCGCGCGACGCTGATCCTCTGGACCGACAGCGTGTCGCGGCTCGACCCTAACTTCCAGAAGCGCGACGAGTCGGGGCCCCCGGTACCCATCGACCAAGTGACGCCCGAGGACCCCGCCGTCATCACTTACCTGTGGAACGGCGACGGCGTGCCGGTGTTAACGCACCAGCGCGACGGCACGAGGGCCAGCCTCGAGAAGCCGGGCGACGTGCTCGAGTACGCCGTCAAGACCCTCGAGGACGGCGTCAGCTCCCGGTTTACCGACGGCGTCAGGCGGAAACTCGTGACGCTGAGCGGTAACTGGCAAACTGACGGGCTTACCGGCGCGGGTGCCACCGTGCAGGCATCTACCACGAATTTATGTTGACACAGCTAGCCTAGCTGTGTATCTTGTCTTCTCTCTTCACAGTATTGCTCTACGATATACCGGGGGCTTTTTTTTTTTTTTTTTTTTTTCGCCGGGGTTTCTTTTTTTCTAATCCCAACGTCTTAAGATGGATAGTTACGCAACGCAACACAACAGAACACAACATATAACACACATATTCCTAGGTACACATTACATCATGGAGCGCGGCGGGGGAACATGGAATCAAATCAGAGATAAAGGGGCATAGCGCAAACTAGGTACATCAGCGCTGGCACATATACCCACGAGAGCAGGACAGGACAGGACAGGACAGGAAACGAAAGGAATATCGGGCGTGGGGAAAGGCGGGCTAAGATGATGATGACCATGATGCTTACCGGCTTCGCGTCGTGGCAGTGACGTTAAAGTAAAGGCGGGGAGGAAAGGCATGGCATCCTAGGCGTTCGGAAGGGGGATCGGATCTCTTGCTTGACTTGGGCGGCCAGACGGGCGGAAGTGGGACGATCAGTCAATACAGACAAACAGACAGACAGACGGGCACTGGCGATTGCTTACGGTGGTTGGGACTAGGCTCAGGATAACATGTCAGATTCAGATACAGGGGAGGGGGCAAGGGGGCTAGTTATCTTGCCTTGTCTATCTGTGTATATTCGCCCCCGGTCAGGGACGGGCGGGAAGGGGTTCTCGGCGCGTACGGTATGGTACGGTACGGTAGGGATTGGATATGCAGTTGCTTGCTTGTCATGCTTGTCTTGTCTGCTTGCTTGGTTGAACTTGGAATAGACAGCCGATTTTTTTCTTCTGCTTCTTCTTCTTTTGGCTTCTTCGCCTTCCTTCCCGACCTCATCTTATCTATCTTACTTCTTACTGCGTACGCGTGCGTGCATGGGAGCAAGCATGTCATTCACGGCAGCCTACGACGACTGCGGGAATTTCTTTCTTACGCTTGTCATTACTTTATTTTAGCATTATACATACCTACATGCATTTACATACGTACGTACCTACATTAGTATTTACATGTAGCATTATTACTTAACTACCTAGGTACCCAACTTACCTTGTCTATTACACATCTTACAAATCTCCATTTCTATCTTTGGGCTTCCCATATGTTCTTTTACCTTAGGTAATATGTGATCTTCTTCTTCTTTTTCTTCTCCTGCATATCTTACCTTAAAGCAAGTACAGTCTCATATGAGGTATACGAGGTCTAGTATAACCTAGATAAACCCGAGAAGGGCGCATTATTAAGCTAGATACCTAGACGCTACACCTTGACCACGGTGGGAGAGGTCGATCTTGACTTACCAACGCGAACACGGCGTCAGCCTTCCATCGATCATTAATCAATCTTACTTCTACGGCACGCTGCGGGCATGCGGTATAGCATCGCTGTCCCGTTCTATCTTGTCCTGTATGTATGTATGTATGTATGTATGTATGTATGTATGTATGTACCTTGCTCTGCTTCGGCCTCGCTTCCTATGTGGGAGTCCTTCTCCAGTATCTCCGCGATTCCCCGCCCGCCAATCTCCCATTCCCCCTCGTCCCCATAGTTTCTTCGATGTACCAATATATCTAGGTATCTATCTGCCATAGCTAATCTCCCGTCAAATTCTCGCGTCTGCGTGGCGCCGGCGAGATACCTAGTAGAGCAGAGCAGGGCAAGGCCAGGGTATCTCGCCTAATTGCGCCGAAGCTAGAACGAGCTGTGATGTGGCGGACGCCACGACACACCTTTCCGAAGCGCGCTGCGGGTATGATTCGAGAAGGGGGACACGGCAGCTGCGCGTTAATCAACGGCGGACCAAGCCACAATTGCCCGTCTGGGGGTCTTGGTGCGCCCACGCCCACGCCCGCGCCCACGTATTCCGTATATCTCGTATTATAGGCGCGTACCCGTTCTCGTGCCTAGACAGATAGATTAACTAGCCCTTAGTTCCTTTGCTAGTCTGTATCTACCTACGTGTGTGTGGGTGTGTGGGTGGGTGGGTGGGTGGATGGAAAGTATACGGCTCGGAATCGAACCGGACGGCTGATACCCCCTTTCGCCCACGGTAGCCTTCCGGGTCGCCGGCACGGCCGACGATGCTAGCGCTGCTGGTTACCGCCTATAGCGTGGGTCTACATGTTGTAGATGTGGTATATGTACATATACGCATACAGGTCAAATATGCACGTGTGGTCAGCATCTACCCAGCCTATCGAACCATCTCTTCCAGTGTTCGTTTCGTTTGTAGTGTCGTTATCTCCGCTGTTAGCTTTTCTTCGTTATTGCCAGTGTGGTTGAAAGGTGAGCTGACCTCAGCCCCCTTATTCGGAATACATGTCGCAGGGACTCTTCCCCGCCGTTCTCAGGCCTTCTGTAGCGTTCTTGCGTGTATATGTGTGTCAGACTATCACCGACAATTAGCGTATACCGTGTCTGATGATAATAGCGTATATCGATGCCGGTAGTTGGTTCCGATATCTTAAGTTACATCCGTGACGGGTTACATGGTATCGCAAGTAAGTAATATGCAGCCAAGTCTTGTTACAGATCCGTAACAGCTCGGAAGAATTTAGCCCACCCCTCGTACCCAGGCTGAGGACATCGGTTACATCTACATGTGTCCTTCAACGCACTTGCTACTTTAGTATAAGTTAAGAGGCGTGCTATTGTTGGAGTTACGTATAAATATCTGGCTTATTAACTCCTAATTAAGTTATATTATAAGCTTCGAATATTCTGGCCCTCATTCTTTGCTCGGGGAAATACGCATGTAAGCAAAACAATCCTAGGCCCCGGGATGCTGGAGTTCGGATTAGACTATCTTCCTAGTGCTTAGATCAGTCCGGGAGAGAGCGGATACTACCTATTCTGATATGAACAGTACTGTGTACAACACCGATATTAACCCCCACGAGCTGTGAGATGTCATACATGAATGTAGCATGATAGTTATCATGTAAAGTGACAGAGGGAGGGGTTTTTCGACACGTATCGTGAAGTCAGTCTGCTAGGTTCTCTTGTTCTATTACTAAGGATCGACAACATCGGGTATACCTTTTCTCGTGAATGACGACGGATAAACTTGGCACATCCTTTTAAAACGTGAAAATGGCAACCTTTATAGAAGCTATTACCAATTCAGTATATAACTGGCATATATATGTCCCCTAACCTAGTGTCCTTATTCAATCCCTGTCTCCCATCATCTAGGGTAAGGAGAAACAAGGACAAGGATTATAGAGGGGTAGCAATTCGGATTCGGATCTTTACCTAATGAGTATTGGTTACCGAGGCAAAAGTCCAATGCGGCTATGAGCTTAAACCGATCTCAATTCATCGTCATCGTGAGTTTTTACAGGAAGAGGTCTAAAAGATGGCCGTGGTGGCGGTTGGCGACAATGGATAGTAATAACTAAATATGCTGTTCCTTCCCGCCAATCATACAGAAGTCCTTTGCATAGGTAGTCCTCCTTCTGTGCCTAGACTACCCAGACTTTGCCAAATCGTTCAAGCATGATGTGGTGTTGTATTGTTAGCAGTATTATTAGTATTGTTTGCTGCCTTACTAACAGTTGCAATTCGCTAGCTCCTTATTCTGACCCGAGCCATTTCTCTCTCGCCCCGGTAAACTGGCAAAGGAATATCGCGAACCACGTGGTTCCGTTAGAAACGATCCGGGATCCTTAAATACGGGGGATGATTATGCGATCGCGCCAGCCAAGTTTAACTCTTTCGCCATCATCAACTTCCCCTCTTCCTTTGTGGCTTCACACCGTTTATGGCGCTTCAGTCAAACTCCTCCAATAATAAGGGGGCATTAAGACACACTCTCATTCGACCGTAAGTGTGTATGGTGATAACTGAAACGAGCTTGAGAATGCGTACCTGTCAGGTCATAATATAACTCAAGTTAAGCATTCTTCTATCAGTTGAAAGTTGAAACTATTTCGCATTGGGTATGGTTTGATGAGTGTTCCTCCCCTACACCTTCGACGACACCTATGTTCCGATCGCCAAGCACTTCGTTGGAACGTTGGGCTTGGTCGAATGTGTCTTCGCTCCTAAACAAGTTGCTAACAAGATAAATCCTCAGAAATCAATATTACTCATTCTGGATCATCCAGACCCCTCAATATTGCTACTTACCATTCATTCGGATGTCTTGAATATAAACCAAAGTAGGTATTCCAACAAAGGTATTTGATGTCTCGCTTCTCGCTTCTCGCTTCTCGCCAATACTACTATGCCCGGAAGTCCGATGGGGGTGTAACTTCAGTCCTCGGACAAGCCTTAGCTACCTAGGTACCTATAGCCACGTAAGCCAAGTACCTCCCTAAAGACGAGTTGTCGGCTAAACTTTCAGTAGATAGAGGCTATCAACACGGCAATCTTCACTCAGTTGAGACCTCATCAGCTGGCGTCGACTGCTTCCCTCAACAACTGTGGTCATTCCTTTAATATATTTCAATATGCGTTAGCCGGGCTCACTTCACCTAATGAGGCCTAATCGACCCGCGTATCGCGAACTTGAAGCGGTCACTGGGTCAGTCTCAATAGCATCTCCGTATCCTGCCTCTAGAATCTTCGTGGAGGTCCGTAATATGTAAAAGGAGTCTTGGGGAGCGGAGAGGGAAGCGTAACATCACATGACATGACATGGCACAAGGGGTAATGTCTTGGACATAGACATGTATTTCACCTTCTAAAGGTCAGGTAAGTTATATTGGCATATCAAAGAATTCATCATGAAGACATGCTGGATTGGTGGTTGATCAACCTCTCCGAGTCTTCCTCGCGCTTCGCGAGATGAGCATATACCGAGGTTACTAATATACTCTAATCTAGGTAGGAGCATAGTAGTATACATGCTCACCAGAGCGTTGGTAATAATTCCCCTGTTAATATCCGGGCACTTCCCCATCTTCCTTATAAGATACATAGTAGAATCATACCTATAGTAAGTAGAATATCCGGGTCTTCTCAACCTCTAGTAAAACCTCCTGTCTCTTACCGCATCCCTAGATTCCAAAGAACGTCCCTGTGTCCGTCCGTCCGCCCCGTGAACTCCGCTCCCGTCCGCCACGATCTTGTCCGTTATTGTACGGATCTGGCTGCTTCCCCCCGGATTGGCGTAGCACAATCAGCGCTTCGGAGCTCCTTGGGGTTCAGTCTGCTATAAGACAACGCGAATAACAGTACTTGAAACTAAAACCCACACGTCATCACCCCCTCCTCCCGCTCGTCTCATCTCATTCACTACCATTGTTTCTTCGTCTTTGATTAGATTTCGAAAGAGCTCCCTCCCTTTTCTCTCATTTATATACTCTACGCTTATTAGTCATTATAAAGACCTTGCTTGCATAATTCAATTGATTTCACCATCATGCCTTCCGCCGGTCCAATGAGCAACCAGGTCAAGCCCCTAGCCGGCAAAGTTGCCCTCATTACCGGCTCTGGGCGCGGCATCGGTAGGGGCATTGCCCTAGAGCTGGGTCTGCGCGGTGCTTCCATCGTTGTCAACTACGGGCGCAGCTCGAGCTCCGCCGAGTCCGTTGTCAAGGAGCTAGCTGAGCTAGGCTCGAAGGCGGTTGCAATCCAAGCCGACATCTCGAAGCCGGCGGAGGTGGTCACCCTGTTCGAGAAGGCCGTCGCGCACTTCGGCGGCATCGACTACGTCATCTCGAACTCGGGCATGGAGGTATGGTCCGAGGAGACGGACGTGACACCGGAGCTCTTCGACCAGGTGTTCAACCTGAACACGCGGGGGCAGTTCTTCGTCGCGCAGCAGGGACTCAAACATGCGCGTGAGGGCGGGCGCATCGTGCTCACGTCCTCGATCGCCGCGCAGATGGCCGGCGTGCCCAATCACGCCTTGTACGCTGGCTCTAAGGCTGCCGTTGAGGGTTTCACGCGCGCCTTCGCTGTCGACTGTGGCAAGAAGCGCATCACCTGTAACGCCATCGCCCCTGGTGGCATCCAGACCGACATGTTCGACGAGAACAGCTGGCACTACGTTCCCGGTGGCTTCAAGGGCATGCCCATCGACAAAATCAAGGAGGGTCTCGCTAGTATGTGTCCACTGGGGCGGGTTGGTGTCCCAGCCGACATCGGTAAGGCCGTCTACTGCCTTATTAGCGACGAAGGCGAATGGATCAACGGTGAGTTAGCTTCATTTTTCTCTTCTTTTTCAGATCCTTCCGCCACACTTACCCTATTCTTGTACCATGCTGACCGTTTGTAGGCCAAGTCATCCGTGCTTCGGGTGGTGGCACTTAGACAATGTAATTGCCCCCTTTGGTCTCCAGTATGACGCCTCAAAGCTCACCGCGCTATCTGGGCGAAAATAAGTCATCCCACAAGTAGAATGGCAGTTGTGGTAAATAGAAAGCGTTGCAAATATGGGATTTGAACTGGTAGCATTTATCTCACATGTAGGGGATATGACTCAGTTTGACGAATCTGAGAGGAATAGACTATTATACCATCACTCTCACGCCCATAGCTGCTGCGCTTTTCTTGTTTACGCATTTTCCCATAACCTATGTGACTAAAGTAATGTCCAATAGCATGCTACCTACGGAGATATCACGGCGAGATGAGCTATAACGGTACTCAAATCTTGCATTTTCCCCCGAAAACAATATTTGCAGCTCCAGCGATTGATGGGATATCCAGTTTAAATCCGGAGGGTGGTAATACAGCCCATATATGTGATCTATGGGTTTGGAAGTAACTATTGTATACCTACTTAAGTAAGTATTTAATACCAATCACGGTTTTCGTCAGCACCCGTACCAAAATTGATGTTTATACATAGGTACGTATCCGTTACGCTAGGTATTGGGTTTAAGTTGTACGGATTATATGTTACCTATACGCCGCAAAGCTAATATGATCGAGGCGGTAAGATAGGAAATTTTACTGACAATACCAACATCCCGGACCATAATCTCCAGGTTAAAAGACAGATTCGCGATCTAGTTCATAAGCGAGCAAAGCAAACATCGAATGAGGACTCAAACGCAACGTGGTTGACATACTAATCAACACGCCAAGATAAAATGTGTTGTTTTCCGTTCGTTCCGTTTGTGCTTTTACAAAGTTGTTCTCGATCTGTAAGGTTAGGTGATTAAGATGACGATTAAGTGATGAAAAGGTGGGTTATAGCGAAATGAAGCTATCCACACGTAAGATGGACGAGTTTCCTATGAGTTTGCTTCTCGTTGCCTAGGTAGGTATCTAGGTCGTTTATTCCGTTTATTTCCGAAGGGTATTCCGAGCGAATGAGGCTGAAGTGAGGTGAGATGGCTGACGTGAAGTTAAGACCGAAGAGCCGATTTTCATGTAAGTTACCTGGCCCTGGTACCTAGCTTAACATGTGTAAGCTAAAGTGATACATTTCGTAAGGTAAGACGGTTATTGGCGCGCGATGCAGGTCTTATCATAACGTAACGGTTCGGTCTCGCATCGACTTACTTTGTGTGACCCAGACAATTCCACTTTTTAGATGACTTCATAGGAGATTGAGAAGTGTCTTTAGTCTGTGCTCTATTTTCTTGAAGAATACTACCCTGAGATTTTGGGCGCTGGTGTTGGAGTGAGAAGATATGGAGAAGTCTAAGTATGCATATCCTTATGAGTGGGCGGTATTTGGTGCCACTTGAAACGTATGGAATAGATAATATAATGTGTACGATAGGTATTTGATGGCTTAAATTCTGGAGCAGTGATAGCTGTATGGTGTGTTGTATAGCAAGAGTGGCAACTGTGACTCGGTAAGTAAGCCGTATAGAATGTTGCTAGAAGATTGATATGAGTATGGGGTAAGGCGGAAGAGGGGCTCATGGCGCCAGCGCCGTGCGGATACAGTGGCATAAAAATGCATAAAAGAGGCGAAGGAAGAAGGGAATGAAGGAAGGGTATCGCGAGCCCCCCTGTGGGTTGAATAGGAGGTACAGAGGATTCGGTGCTCGAATGATTGTCATCCAGGCGGTTATGAGGAATCAATGTCCCACAAAGAGGTAATTTCATGTTTACTCGTGCCTTTTGACGTGGGCCCTTACCCAAATCTTAGAAGGGTCTTATAGACACTGCTAGGGATAAATCCGACTCTTCCTGATAACAGTAGTCGAATATTTCTTTGTAAACATTTCGCTTACCACATAAAGAGCGAATCAGGACAAATTCTGCGATATAGTTATGACCCGTGATGTATCTTGTTGGCTTGGTGTGTTACGGGCCGCTTCATACGCGGCCAATAAGATGACACGAGTAGACGAGTCGTTGCGGGTTTCCTATTAAAGCCTGTCCAAGATCTCGATTAATAACGCGCTCACCATCCTGCCTTAGTAAGGCGTTCTCAACACCACTGATCCCCAGATCAATCGCATACTGCCTTGAGATAAAGACTTCGGTATTACAGGGCTAGGGACTGATCCAAGCTTATATTTTCATAAATAATATCAAAATTTTGTTCGAACATAGCTGACTAGATAAGCCTAGGTATGCGTTATTTTCGTTAAACGAGTGGTCGAATGGGCTTACACAAAAGCTCATACCTTTTGATGATACTCGTTCGCAGATCAACAATTCAAAATTAAGACATTACCTAAACGTCCTATCGACAGACTCTAGTTAAAGAAGTAAATGGGTCGATTTTGTAATGTTGTATGGAAGCTGAGAGCTAAGGGTCGGGGGCCATGAGCCGTTTAGAACGAAGCTACTTGGACATTCTGCCCCTGCAACGAATAGGTTGGGATACGGCAATCAACCTCTGATGGGGCTGGGGGTGACCACACACTATACCTATGCCATATAATAGTCCGGGTACATTTCTGACGCTAGACTATTTCTCATAAGTAGAACATGCTTATACCGTTGGAGTGACGTTAGGATGGGTAATACTCGTCTACTAACAGCGTGTACAGAGACTGATAAGCCTAAGCTTCAGTCATAGACCGATAGAGGAGGCGTTAGGAGGCTTGCTGAGAGAAGGGCTAGATTGGTATGGTGGTGTGAGAGACTATCCGATTTGACGGCATGCACAACAGCAAACAAATGTAGGAGGACATCGACCCGAGGTAGCTAAGGAGCCAAGCTGATTCTTCGTATGAGTGCTTAGTTCTCTCGAAACGAATTTTACATTTACAGTAGAGCTATTCGAAGCTACGAGAAATCCAACAGCCAAGGATGAGATATTTGTTAGCAGACGGGAGGCTGTGCAGTTGTATAGCCTCAATCGATAAGTGAGCCGATAGGCTAAAAAAGGCCAGTTCATCCCATCTTGGAATTCGGGCTTCGAAGGTACCACAGTGAACAAGAGCGTTTCATGCGTAACTAAGAAGCCATATCGTGCTGCGTATCCTGCACAGTAGTATTCTAGGTTAGATTAGTATAAGCTTGTAAAATTTAGTGCTGCAACGTTGGAACTTGTTCTAGGTAGTTAACCACTAGAAGATACCAGATATGTGGCAGACGAAGCGCTATTGGTCTAGAGCTTTCCACCTTGTCGAAACGTGGTATGCCTGACCGGTGTGAGATTAACCCATGGAACTAGGGTCGCATTGCAGATGTCAGCCGGCGAACCGATTGAAGTGGCCTAGAAGCTGCTCAAAATTCGAAACCGCTGTCTGTGGGGGTACCACGACAAGAGGTCGGGCACTTTACAGGCTCGGCCTGTTTCACATCATTCGTCATTTGCTCGGGAGCGGTAGTCTAAGAGTGCAGGAAACTAGTCATATTCAGACGCGGATCGAGGGCATTCCGCAAGCGTCATTCTAGACCATTCGTAAGTCTAATTAGGCCATGTAATAGCCTTTAATTTCTCGCTTAAGGTGACTCGCTCTGCATACGTAGTGTTTTCGTTTCTTAGTTTGCTAGTTATCTCGCACAAACATCGTTCGTGAGACCCGCGTTAGGCACCTACCATAGAAAGTGGTGTACGAAACAGTCCCAAAAGACGCCTAACGATGGCATTGATTCGTATATGGCGAAGAAACACGTTTCCGCTGAAAGTATGTATTATAATATACTTTTATCGGCTTTCTTGGTCCAGTCATGTGCCATAATTTGAGGGGCAGTGAGGATCTGGCGATCCTTCACGATGGGATCTTCAACTCCCATACGGTCGGGCTAGATTATGACATGGTCCATGATCCTGTGGGCGTGGATGTATATGCGTAGGAACTGTGAGAAATTTCAGCTAGCTTATGTGGCTAAGAGGTCTCGTATCTGATTTAATAGAATGTGAAATGCGGAATGTGGAATATTATTATAAGTGGAAGTTTTGGTGATGTGAGTAAACTAAAACTAACTTAAATGATGCTCTCCAAGATCTACATGTACCTATGTGCCCGAGTTTACGAGGGATATTGTCTTGGGGACCTTTTTTCGAAAGAGGAAGTTCGTCCGTGCGGCGCTTTTTAAGTGTTTTGATTCGGTGCATCCCCGAAATAAGTGGAATTAGCCACGTGCTTTTCCAAATCCCCACTTTCATCTTTTTCTCGAAATACGTACCTATCTTTATAAAAGCCTAGGTTCGAATCCCACACGTTTTCCCTTTCCCTTTTCCTTTTTTTATTTTTTTATTTTTATTTTTATTTTTATTTTTGCAAAGGTCGATATTTGAGGTTCCCCGGCAGCACCATATTACCTTCGAAAACTCGGGCTATTGTGGCGCACCGCAGGGGTGCCCTCATGTACATGATTAGCGGATTACCTGTCTTACCTAATACGAAACTAGTTAGACTGCCAACTTTAAGATAAAGTTTAGAAGGGTTGCAGCGGGGTAAGGACCGCTTAGTACGATCGTACAAGGGTTTGATCTTAAGTTAGGTACATGGACCATGTATTGGGTACGGATTACATATGTCCATCTATATGCATTTATACCGCGGAGTATGTTAGTCTTCTTGTATTAATTATGTTTAGTTAACTATATGTACTAAGAAGCCTTAGGTAGTTATTGTTTATATATCTCATGTTTTTTTTTGTAAAGAACCAAAGTATTTAACTACTACCTATCATTTAAGATTTCTAATGGCTTATTGCCTAAGGTTACTTAATAAAGAATTTCCTAAATAAGTTCGAGCCTAATTCCGTTAAGATGATATTTCCCTCACAGTTCATAAGCTTAAACTAGCCCCAATATCGGCTTAACTACCTAGGTACCTACCTAGCTAATACAATAATTCCTTACTGCGCACGTGGAAATTACAAGCATAAAGGTTCCTTAACACATGTAGCTAAATTATATCGACATCTAGGTACCTAATGTATTCCCACCAGTCGGGTTAAAAGCGTCTTGAATCTTGTACAATATGGGCAATCATGATATTTTCATGACTAATTGGCTTGTGACTATTGTCTTGGGTTACAAATCTTAAAGTACCTCCTAAGAGAATCTTGTGGGATACATGGGCAGCTGTTCAGCCAGATGCGCCTTGAATGCAACTTCGCCAGGCCAAGCTTTAAAACGCAGCAGTGGCTGGGATCTAGTTTGCGTGATCGACCACAATGTTGCCTTTTTGATAAAAGGTGCGTAGACGGGAAGGAAATAAACGGCACCTTAAGGCTACACTATGTTATAACAGGTTAGAAGTCCTCTCGAGCTGAGATATCGCGCCAGAGTGGCTTAACGCCTTAAATTATGGTATACGGTATAAATACTCTGTGCTACACTTTGTTTAGTATCAGATCATGTATGGAATTATTCTAAGAATAAGCATAGTACTAAGCAGAGCAACGGAGAGCGCGGATCTTCGTATCCACTTACACATTACATGTAGTTCACAGTAAATGTTATTGCGCTGGCAACTTGGCTCCAGAGTAATCAAGCACAATGACGCGAGCCAATGGCAGAAAATGGAGTTTTGCCTTTGTAGTCCGAATCCTGGGGTTCTCTTCGCGGATTACTGCTCAATAAAACCCCCACATATCGAAAGTTACATCACGTCATTTATCAATTATAACTAAAAGGTCATATAAACGACGATCTGTTAGTAGGTAGCACAATCTCGTTGGGTTTGTAAGTTTATGAACTTTTTTTGCTAGATCCGTAGTGTTTTTATATAAAAAGCAATCTGCTTATAAATCTCTCTCTCTCTATATATATACCTAGGTAGGTAAGTACCTAACCTAACTTAAAGTATGCAGCTATAGTTGAGCCCGTTGAAATTGCCAACCAATACTAGAGAGGGTCTTGCTTATTAGTTCTAAGACATTGGTGATCTACATCCCGCGCTTAGATCCGCCGCAGTAAGATCCTACTTGGCACGCCAAAGAGAATTCGTGTGTTGAAAGTGATGGCTGCGAGGAGTGTGTGGAAAATAACTGATGCTACCCAGGTGACATGGAATAAGGTAACATTCGATGGCAACGCAGCTCACGAGACCCTAACCTAGCAAACGATTACCTTCGACTCGATGTGGGGAACGATAACTTAAAAGCTTTATATGTCGGCACTTTCTGCATGTCTTGTCATTGATCCCTGATTTATAAACAACCACCAAATGATGCTTGAAAACGATGCAAGTCTTAGTTGTCTAGACTAACAAAATGATTGCCCTGATAGCGGCAAATAACCGGTTGCACAAAAAAATGGCGGTGTGGAATTCTGGACTCAATGCTTGAATTACAAGTTCAAGTTTCTTTCTATCAAAATGTAGATCTTGAACGAAATATTTATCGTTGTCGTGTATCATAATGATACATAGTACGCCTCTGAGGGGATCAAAGGAAAATAGTTTGATGCTCACGGTCACAGCAAACCTCCCCTCCACAATCATCGTAACCGTCCCATCATAACGCCGCCCACCTTTCCAAAACAAACCACCGTCCAAATGCTAAATCGTATTTCGAGGTGATAGCTTAACTTTTCCTATCAATCATCCAAGATCCCGTGTGTACCATACTCCTGGTGAGAAAAGAACGGGCGATTCCGACCCGGACACTATCCGCCTCAAAGCGCCAATGCCCGCTTTCATATACTGAATTTGGCAGTACTACCAAAAGCATAAATAAAAACGTAATAGATGACAAGAGAATAGAGGACGTCATTATAATTAGTTGATCTTGAAACGTTTATCTCACTGCGTGTGCCGTCTTGGCTTCTTCTGCGTTACATCGTAATATCGTTTGATAGCATGCGCTTTGATGCCGCGTTTGCGCTAGTGGTAATGGTGCTAGAAAGTATTTTAAGCCAAAAACTTATAGCTTTAGGCGATAAAGGGCATATCACCCTTTCTATGACTGATAACTTCGAGTGTAGAGTCAAGGTTCTGACCGAGATAACCGATCATAGCCTTGGTAACTTCGGGGATGTCGGAATAATCAGTATAGACCACATCTCGGAATCTGGAGTAGACCTCCTCCAATTTACGGAGCTCCCTAGCTAGTATTTCAAGCTCGAGCCATTTTCCATCCTCGCCATTGAGCTGATACACGCCAAAGCTGACTCCCACATTATTTCCTAAATTGCTCTGAGTCATACCCATGCTGCCAGCATCGAAATACGAGTTAGAAGCAGTTTTATAGAATGACGTGATTTTACTAATCACGGTGACAAGCAACATGGTAGCGGTGTGTGTGCCGGATCGACTCATGCACCTGTTGCAAGACAGCATGGCCGCGCATCCTTCAACAGCTCTTCGATTAAGAGACAAGATAAAGTCAAAGGGTGGCACTGCTGGAGCAGAAGCGTTATGCAATGCTTGAAGTGATTGTAGGCAGGCTGTAAAGCAGGTACAGGAACCTCCGCTCATGGTGGACGATGGTGATCTATGACGTGGACCAACTGGTCTCATCGTGGGTGTTGTTGTTGGACTGGGGAAATAATTAGAAGACATGCTCGTCGGAGTCTGCACCTGGTTGTATGAGATCATATCTTGTGTGACTGGATCGGTCCACGCTATCGGCGTTGACATAGATAAATCGAACGACTGAGATCGCATCTGAGTACTGGCCATAGGGCCAGTCGTGACGGGAATATCGCTGAAAGTGGCACACGAAAGGTCTGTAGGTGGAGTCCAAGGCATTGCGGAAGAATACATTTCAGGCGGAGCTGACATTGGGTCATGTTCACCCATGGTTCTGTCTTCAACTCCGAGTAAAGAAAGACCTGTTGATATTGAAGGATTTCGACTTATGTTACCATCAACACTGGTAGGCGGTGTAGTCCATCCCGGCTCGAAACTGAAAATGTGTTCAGATGGAGTTTGATGTGTTGTAGAATATGACATGTTCTTGTCTTCTATTAAGCCATGATGCATTTGCTGCATGTCCTGAGGAGCATTCGCATGGGCGCCTCCGCTATGATCAGACTTGGGCTTGCCTGCCCGGCTCGAAGGCGAGTACCGACACTCGATACCACAGGCTAGGCAACGGGAACATATGGGTCGAGCCTTCGAGCACTTAACCTTCGCCAAAAAACATCCATCGCATGAGGCTCGGAGCCGAGGTTGGCGAGCTTTGGTGGAGGCCATCGCGGTGCCGATATGTATCGATGTGGGAATAAGCGGGTAGTTTCCTGGCCAGGAATTTGGTTTTGAGGTGGAACGAGAGTGTGACAGATTTTGGAAACGACACGAGGATAGGTGCAATAAGGGTAGTATTATAAAATGGAAATATGTATGATAGCTCTCATATGTGGTAGCACAGAGCTTACAATGGTACGAGTCGGAGACCGAGCTAGAAGTGAAGTAGGGAACTGAACCGGTTCGATACTGATGGGTAGATACGACGTATAGTAAGCCCCGTACCAGACGAATGGAAAGGTAAAAGCAACGGAAATATCAGCCTGAGTGGTCTAGAAGGGCGTCTATGAAAGATATATATGATATATGCAGAGGCATAAGACAGACGAGAGGGAGTCTGCTTAGAGCGTACAGGGTCCCGATTAAAAAGGCTCAGGGGAGTGACTAAAACCTGATTTGGTGTTAGGGAAAGGTAGTAAGAGATAGACCCACATGGGATACGTAGGCTGTCAGAACCGGTTGGTGTCAGAGGCCCAATAGAGAAAGGCGGCGCTTGTGGGCATGGGGATAGCTGTGGTTTAAGGAGGAGCCTGACTTACAGGGTCGTCTAGATGCAGCGAGATGTTGCCAGTATAGATGGGGGTGAAAATACGGACTAACAAGTGACCGGTATGAGCAGAGTCATAGAGCTCTTACATGTACGAACAGGAAGGTAAGGTAAGGTAAGGTAGGGTGGCTGTCAACTAGTAGAGCAAAAGCAGAAAGGTGCTACCCTATTCCTAGTAATGCTGAGGCAATCTATAAAGCATAATAGAATTCATAGTACTTTTGTAATATCATCGTATGGAGATGAGAGTACCTCCCAGAGATCGTCGGATCGTACAGCCGACTTTATTGCTAAAGATCCATCAGGCAGATTCTACTCTAAAGAAAATTAACAACGTCAATAGCTTGGGGGGAGCATGGTCGTTCATTGGTCCCGATGTAATGGCTGAACTCGGCTCGCAGTCGACACGCATTGTGTAACGGCGTCAACCCCACGATTGTACCTTGGTATATTTATAATAAGGACGCCATGGATATTTAGCTAGTAGGTGAGTCTAGCGAGAAATACGCTAAGTACCTAAGGTATGTATCTTAACACGCATCTTGACGTAGGGTACTGTGCCAGCATCACGGCAGGGTGGCCGTGGGGAGGAATGTTCACAGCGGCGGCAGTAACAGTACTGTAATAAGAAAGCCACAGCGCTGTACACATATTAGTTACCTGCAGACGGTCGATACAACACCCCAACACCCGAAGATGGGTACCATGGACAGGGCATCGACGATAAATGCTTGGCTGGCTGGATGGCCAAGTGAGGCTATAGGTAGAGCTGTCCGACCCGGAACGGGATAGAGTGGAAGTAGAGGAGAGAAGGGGGGGAGAGACTTATGCAGGTGTATTTCGGTGTACCATGTGTTTGTATGGCCCAATGTAAAAATGTCAACATTTAGCAGACGGGTCCCTGAGCTATCTTGCAGTAATGGGGGGAGATGAGGCTCGGGCCCGAAGGAAACAGTCTCACAGCAGAAGAAAAAGAAGTAGGAATCCGATACTAGCAATTCAAACTCGGAGGACGCAGAAGTTCCGATCTAAAAGTAAGAAAGTAATTGTTTAATAGCTCCGAATTAGGGTTGACTACTTGGTTATAGCATCACAGACGCGACTGATTGACTTGATGATGTTTGCGTTTAGGTAGTTCCTTTTTTTGGTTCATCGGAATTTTTGAGAGGAACTTTACATGTGATTACATAAAATATCATTATGAGAAGAGGGGTAAGAGGGGCTTAAGTTCCAATTCATCTGAATAATGGAATAATACCTAGGTAGGTAGGTACCTAGGTAGGTTACATATTTCTTATTCGGAAGGCGTAGTCGGAATTCAGATGTAATGGACTTTATGGTTACGGATTATACCTTAGGTACCTAACATTAGGTAGTACAGGTAGGTAGTACCTACCTATGGACCTACCTAGGGTACTTAGGCACATAACTTAAATTGAAATAATGGATGGTCCGTGCTTAAGACCGTTAACCTCAAAGCTGCCAAGATGGAAAATCATTGGAAAGCGATTCTCGATCCAACCTCTTTTCTTTGTCAACTCCATAACCTCTTGGCAAAGCCTCACTGCAACCCACCCCACGTATTCTTCTCATAGTGTATTCTCATAATAGCATCCGCACATCGCTAACTATATCTGGCTGTGTGTATCCTTCATCGCATCTTCATCGTGTCTACTTCATACTTCTTTCCTAACGATCCTCCTCTTCCGGTACGATTCCCCTTATTAACTTCGATGGATCGTGTATGCGTTTCAAGTTGCTTGGCAACTCATTATTCAGCCTCAGCCCTACCAATCCTTCACTGCCACTCAGTAACACACTTAGAAGTTATCGATCCTCAGTCCTAATGACGAAAGCTCTACAGGACTCACTTGCCTCTCTAGCTATAGCCTAACCTACTTAGTAGCATCAGCAGCCACCGGAGAATCGGTGTCATTCATTCTCCGGATTTACTATCGCAACTCACTAGGAAATATTGAGTTGTGTGCCATACTAAGCGACTGTGGCGTTTTCAAGCTTATGATTGGCTTCGTTATCTATCCCACGAGTCGTTCTACAACGATTCACAAAACCTCTACATGACTTTACAAGTTCCACCCCGCTGATAAGAGTTTCATCCTAGAGTAGTCCCATGTGGTATGGGGGGTGCTCGTCGTTCCATTGAGCTTTCTCGGACCTCCGTTACGCATCAGACGACCCGATCAAGCTCATAATTATCTCTAGCGAATTGCCTACGAAGAAGCGGCCGAGGTAGGGTGCTTCCATCATCTTCTCGAGCTATGGTTAATCGGGTAGGTCTACCTCGAGTAACAAATCTGGGTAGCATTCGTCCGTGCTTTGAAACCCGTGGGTTGCCTATCCGATTCTTTAACACTTATCTTATTGGGCTCCATGCCCAGGCCAGCTAGAGCAGGTTTAAGAGTATGCTGTTACTCGGCGGTCATGGAAAAGCCTTTTTTCTTCTTTTCATCGGAGTCGTAACTGAGTGAATTTACATTTGGTTAATTGGCTTGATCCAGCGATCTGAATTGGTTTAGATTGCGCCTCCAGGGTCTACGCTAGACGCGATGCGCGGAGAGAGCCACTAATATATTATTGGGGCTTTACTGAGACAGTTCAGTGGCTAATTTGGGTTGATCCTGTAGAGTTTTCCGAGATTCGGTCAGGTATATCCTAGGAAGCGGTTATAGTTGGGCTACTTGTGGCTTGTCATTCAGCTACCTCCTGTCCAGTAATTTCCCACCTGTCTGTTGTAGCTTGAGTAACGACGGTTCCCGAAGCCACTTCATCCCTAGCTGCATTCCAACGAAATGCTTGGCCAGGAACGTGGCTTTTCAGCTACTCACTCGTTACGGCGATTCGCTTTAACAATTTCGTCGATAAAGTGTTCCCGTCGTCTTAATCGATACTTCCCCGGATGATCGCCTGGAAGTTTGCAATAAGCAATTCAAATATCGAATTTTGTGACGTTGCATCAAATTCCTCACTTAGCTATTTTAGAAATAGCTAAAGCTGAGTAACTCCTAAACATGTTATACTTTTCACTTTAGAGAGCCGTGTTCGGACAAAAAGCTACTATCAGAGTAACCTGTTTGGCTATGGAGGAAACACAGTCTTTGGATCTTATTCGAACTGATCCGGTTGATTCAACAGTGGCATCTAATTCGTATGAGAGCATGGCACGTGGCAAATGGCAAATTCAATGTCGCCCACACCATCTAGAGGGGGAAAAATCTACATGCTAATTCTGGCTTAGAGGTTGTTCATTTGTAGTACAACTAGATCGAGACGACACAGCAACTCAAAGCGGAGTAGCGACACACCCCCGTCTCGACGAGGCGCGGGACATCCCTGTTTAACTGTACATGAAGCTTCCAACCGAATTCGATTGCAACATCATACTTCTGTGTTGCCTTTATGGTTTGAATAACAGACGCCCTAACCAAGGGATCTCAAAGACGTGCCTATGTGCCAATTACGTCTTTGATTTTGCGCGTGTTTCGACCATACTCTATAGCTATCAAGTTCCCAGCGCTTGGTTTGCCTTTGGCCTTAATGACCATCATTTTCCTAATCGCGGCTAAGTAAAATCCCCAAGCAAGAGACTTTACCTAATGTAGGGCTTATTGACTATCTCAACTCTTCCCGATCCAGGCACATTAACAATAACAATTTGAACCTACAGGTGATCATTTAAGATATTAGTAAAAACTAGATGAGTTTACCGGGATCAACAAGCTTCCTAAACATTTGCACAGTCAAACTGATTACTTAGGTAGGTACCTATCTAACTAGGTTCGCCATCGCTCATCGCAATATGGGACTCGAACCCTCCACGAACTATTTAATATGAGATGGATGTTATACCAGCGCCAATGATATGGCTCTCGATAAATATTCAGCATGTCTTCGATGAGTTCGGATAAGTCATGCTGTTGTGTATGCTTGGACAGCATAGCTGCTGCAGTGGACTATTTGAAGTCGTGATCTACTATTTAGTCGCATTGCATAGACTATAGCTAAACATCAAAGTCACTAATATTTACCCAACGGTTGGATACCACGCCTTAGCAGTCTGAGGTTCTAGTGTTGAATCGGTTCTCGCGACATCGCTTTGGTGGTTGGCAAGGCCCGGATCAGGGACCTATCCTTGAATATGGCCTTTTAAATCTCGAAGCTAATCTATAAATCAAGCTTTTGATTCCTATTTCAGGTGCCCCTGATGAGCTATGAGGAGAGCCGTATGAAAGCGCACATTTTTGAAAGGCAGTGATCCAGTCACTCGCACGGTTCTGGTCCCTCGACAGAGGTCGAAATCATCACAAGCTCTCATAGGAGAGGAAGAGCTGATAGTTCAACCAAGTTTCGACCACCTATCATCGATAGGGCACTTCCTTGCTGA